CACGCATCTACGTTCACAGAGTAATTTGGTTCAAACCATTCATGTTGTTCCCCCGCGCAGACCAGAGCGACTTCAGGAATATACCAAACATTTTAATTTTTAAACGCAAAAACAAAACATATCATTAATTTAGTTTCGTTCTTAATAACATACGTACAAAAAAAACATTAAACAACGAACTTGTTTTCGCTGAAACAATATTGTGTAAACAAATCATTTATTGCAAAAACAAAATTTGTTGAAACACACTTCTGGCATGTTGCATGAATGGTGTGGTTTAATGCCAACTCCCTCATGTATGTTGAAAAAGAAATGTTTAGTGTCAGCATGTTTCCAATCATCCAAATTAAATTGTGTGTGTGTGTTCAATATTCACCGTTATTTTTCAAACAAATGGGGGAACCCATCATGTGGATCAAATCAGGGAACTGCGTTTAAAATTACTTCACTTCGAATGATCCCCACCATGACATTTATACATTTTCTTACTGGCAAATCTCCTGGCATTCTACCTGACATATCTTCTGGCATTCTATTTGGCATATCTTCTGGCATATCTTCTGGCATTCTATCTGACATATCTTCTGGCATTCTATCTGGCATATCTTCTGGCATTCTATCTGGCAAATCTTCTGGCATTCTATCTGGCATACCTTCTGGCATTCTATCTGGCATATCTTCTGACATTTTTTCTGGCATTCTATCTGGCATATCTTTTGGCATTCTATCTGACATCTTTTCTAACATTTTTCCCGTTGACGTCCGGCAGTGCCCACTGCGATCTGGAAGCCGCGGTTGGGGTCCGCATCAGCTCTGGAAATGCAAGACGTGAGCGCACCGCCTCCCTGTTCATTCATCGCGTTGAAGATCCCAACTTTTGAGGGTTTGGAGGGATATCGGGTTGTACTGAAAATGTGTCTTCTCTTTTGGTCCGCTGTTATGGGGCAAAGCCGTCATGCTGTGGCGCAATTTCGTCTTGTTTGAATCTACAGAGCTACCCGGGCACAAGCGAACAAAACCCGCGGGCACGCAACACAGATTCCGTTACATACATAGCCCAAAAAATTGAGAAACATGTGCAAAAGCAAACGGGTAAGGATAAATAAATGGAAAGGTTGAATCATGTTGATGTGAGACGTTTTTCAGGTAATCCTTTTCCCCTATTACTTAACACCCCAAATACTAAAAACTAGGGTCCATTTCCCAGTTTGGAAAATTTGAGGTTGGCCAATTTGACTTTTAATTGATCCCCTTTAGAAACATTTTTCAAAATAAAGCTACCATTTGTGGGTTTCGCCCCCTAACGATAAAAATTAGTTAACCCCGGGGTCTGTATTACCAGGGTCCCTGATCCCAACACATGATTACCACATATGTATGGAGGTTCCTATACCCATTCTTTCAGTTCTTTAGTATCCTTCCTTACGGGCCGCATTTGCTGTTGTTTGACTTTTCGGGGGGATTTCATTTCATAGGCTGCCACGTGCCTCAAACCTGGCACACATGTTGTTGCGTCGGCCGTGACCTGTGAATCTTTGTTGGTAAAAGGCTGGAACAGGAATTATGTCAGATCCAAACTCCTCATCCTTGAGCATGTCATCCGGGTCCATCGATGTTAAGGGAGGCGCAGTCACACCTCATTCATCTCGAAGCCGAAGTTCATCCGGGACTCCAAAATCAAGAGGACGGTCGTCAAGAACAAAACAAGTTTCAACGGTGAATCAGCCGCGAAAAGTTTCTCAAGTTATCAAGCGCCAGCCAAAACCATCAGATCATGAGCGTGCCATGTCACCAGTTCCTCTTGTGCATAGGTCCGCAACGGCCTCCCAACCTTCGACTTTCATTCCCCAAGAGTCTATAGTGGTCAGTTTGATGCCCGGATCCATCATTCACAGACGGTCCAGTATCATGATCGCCGCACTCAGCAAGTGAATGTTGGTGTTGATCCCATGGATTTTGCCAACATGGTCTCCGAGGCCAAGAGGGTTGTTCAGGAATCTGATGAAAGAATCAAGTGGTTGGAAGGCTTAGCCCAAGATGTGTACAGCCAGGCCTGTTCACGTATTCAAGAGTTACTTGGTGTTGTTGAGAGCCTTCAGCTATCAAATCCAAGATTTCAAAATCAGATCCATCAATTAAATTCAGAAGTCGCCAATGTTCGCGCTCAGTTGGAGCTTCAAATCGCTCGGAATCACAACTTGGGTCGAAGAGTTGAGTGCTCCGCCAACACGTTAGGCCACAAAGAGGGCGAAATTTCACGACTGATGGATGAAATCCACCAGCTGAAGTATTCGGTCGACTCCCAGCGTTTTGTTTTTGATGTATCTCAAGCTCAGAACTTGTCCCTTCGTCAACACTGTCAAGATATGGAAATGAATTTGGCTGCACGAAGCGCCGCTCAAACAGTTGATCAAGTCAGGTCTGATGTTCCACCTCTGATGTTCCACCTCCTCCGGCCTTTTCAGCGCAATTGCTGTCTCCATGAGGGAAGTTTTGCAGATTCTTTCGGCTCGCATGTCAGCGGTTGAAGATGCTCGAGATTCATGTCGATCAAGTTTAGAGCCATAATAGCGCGGCAGTGTCTTTTCCGTTTCCGCCTTCTGGTCTTCCTCGAAAACCTCGTTCTTTTCCAGCACTTGCCGGATCAGGGGGGCCCAGGGTTTCCATCAAATGATTGCGGAGATGGTTTTGACGCTGAGGATGAAGAGTTAGTTCGAGATCGCATGCCCCAAAACTTTACCAGTCACAGGGGCCTAGTTGAAAGGAACATTGTGGATGATCGTTCGCTTCGGTATGCCACATTAAGTCTGGTTCCTTCCAGTGCTTCGGATTTCAGAGTTTGGAAAAACCAGTTGTTGCTGATCATGGCAAATGTGGATATCAGTGATAGGGATTACTTAGCACATTGGCTTTCCAAAACTTTTGAAGTTAATTCCGATGAAGTAATCAAGCATGATTTGGGTTGTGTTCCGCCTTGAGTTCGTTGGTTGGCAGCTGAAATTTCGAAAGGTTGTGAAAATGTGCCTGAGTTGCAGTTCAAGATCATGGGGTACATTAAAGGATGCACTCGAACTGTAAACCCTCCCAAGGGCAGATACTTGTTGCACATTGTTTCCACGCGTTTTGACATTGATCGCGCTCGTGTTTCGCTGCTAACTCTCCAATCGATATTTCAAATAGGTTTGATGGTTACAGTGGCAAGCATTTGCAAGAGTTTTCAGGTCCCGTCCTTCGCACTTTGAATGGTGTACTGCAAGAAGATTAGCCGTCTCAGCGCATGATGGGTGAGTGGTTGTTTCATCCGTTGAGGCAAGTTCGCAAGTTGGAAAGGACCATTGGTGAGATCAAGAGAAGCGATGCTCTTTCGCTACTCCGTGACATTGATCATCCTTGGAATAGGTTGCAGGAACACTTGCTTGAAGAAAAAGAATACATCAATGCGCAATCAATTGAGAACTTGTTGAAGTCCAGCACCAAAGAATTGCAGCCCGACAAACCCACCAGCGCGCCTGCTGCCATCGCTCCATCGTCTGAATCGAAAACACCCCCAAAAGGTAAAGCAAAGGGAAAGGGAAAAGCAATGACAGCAGAGCAAAAAGGCCAAAACAGCGTGCATCTTCCATAGGATGCCTACCGGATGCGTCCATGGAGAGAAATGCTAGTATCTGCATGAGCCTGCTCCCTCACCTTCCTGAGGATCAGGGGGTTTCATCATGTTTCATCCATCCAATTGTCAGCAAATCCCATGAAGTTTGTGCTGTGCCGAGCTTAGTTGGATAGGAGCGTTGTGGTTTTCCGATTCTCCTGGTTGTTTTTGGTTTTTCTCGTGGCAGTGGGACGCGTTCAGCTTCTGGTTTTTCAGTGTTTTGTTTCTTCCCGTTGCTGGTCGATCCAATGAAGTTTGTGCTGTGCTGAGCCTAGTTGGATTGGAGTTTTGTGTTTTGCCGATCCTCTTTGCCGCTTTTGGATTTTTACTTGTCTCGTTTGTCATCGTCTCATATCAACATTTCGTCAAGGCCTCAGTGGTTGCATGGTCTTTAGTTTTTATCGGCTAAGCAGTTTTCATCAAGCGCGTGCTTGTCGTTATTCCGTTTTCGCACTCGTCAGTCAATTGGGCGCCATGTCAATTGCAGCGTTAAGGCAATCCCAAGGATTTCAATAATGGAGGCAATTCATGAATTTCATTGTCTTCAAACTCATTGCCCCTGCTAAGCATTCAACGATATAGGCTAAATCTCTAAGGTTTTTTTTTTGTCAGTTCAATGGGTTTGTGCTTTGCCATCCTCCGTTGGACTTGAGTGCATGATGTGCTAAGATGTCATTCGCAGCTACTTCTCAGGTGTCACCCTTTTTGCCATTTGTCACCACCCGGGTGTGGCAAGTCTGGATGCGACTGATTCTCATCTGTGAAGTTTTGATCCATTGGATTTTTGTGAGTCATTTCTTGTGGATATGCCATTGGACTCTTCATTGGCTTATCTCGAAGCCGGTAAAAGACGCAAGTTTGTGAACATGTCTGCTGGGTCGGTGGCTTTGTGGGGCCATATGGCTCTTGGTATTCCTCCTCACAAGTTGCGTGCTTGGAGACTTAACGTTGCCAGAACCAACAAGTGGATTAAAGGACGAGGGTTGCTGGAAGTTGCCATGCAAATTAACGCTACCCCGCTTGATGACCCGTACTTCCGCGTGCGCCTTGAACGGTTAAACTGTGGCTTGAGTTGGTGCGGCGTTGTGGTGTCTTAGCTTCTTCGGCTTTAGTCAAAGCGTGGGAGCAAAGCTGGACGGAATTGCTTGGCGTGTCCCACCGCTGGAAGATCGTTAAAGGTCCGCTTGCTGCTACTCAGGCTGTGCTCATGGATGTTGGCTGGACCGCTTGCCAACTTGATTCTTGGATGGATGACCTTGGCTTCGCTTGGCATATTGACGCCAGTGATCCTTGCTTACTTGCACGGATTGAACTTGGGTTTATTGCTTCTTTGAAAAGACGCCAATGCGTTCTCATGTCTCAGCAATTTTTCGGGCAAGGTTTGGAGTCGGGATTGGACGCTGTGTTGCACAAACGCTTGCTTGACAGCGTGCCGGTTCAGGACGCGCCGTTGTTGCAGACTTGGTGGCAAGGGGCTTTACAACACTCCTTCAACTCGCGGCAGTGTGTTTGTCCGACCTGCGATGTCGAGTTAACCCTCTTGCATATGTTGTTTGAATGCCCCGGGTGCATCCGGGAATGCGGGCCTGTGCCTGCAGCATGGTCTGCTTGCTACGGCTTGGTTGAACAAAGTCATTTCTGGCTGCGTGGTTTGGTGCCGGATGCGTGGACTCGTGCTCCTGCGGTCACTGACGAAAACATCGTGCGCACCGGTTGTTTTGAAAACTCCGCTGGGTTTGACTTTTCGGATTTGTTTTTTGCGACCGATGGTAGCGGTGGTCCTTTTAGTAACGAACCTCGGCTCCGGAAGTGTGCTTGGGCTGTTGTTGCTGTTGCGCTTGTTGATGGCGATTACGTTTTGGTTGGTAGTATCGCTGGGTTTGTCCGTGGTGGCCCCGATCCCAATACTGTGGCTCGCGCCGAGTTGCGTGCCTTTGTGGAGCTGCTGAGATCAATTTCTGAAGGTTGTGAACTGAGGGTTGCTGTGGATGCTTCCTTTGTCATCAATGTGTACAACAAGTTGCGTCGCTGTCCAAAGAAGATCCGTAACCCACATGGGGACCTACTGGGCCAACTTGTCACGCTGCTGGACAAGCAGGTGAGCCTCACTAAAGTTAAGTCCCATATCACGCATGAGGAGCATGTTTCTCTTGGTAGAGAAAGCTGGTCATGGCATGCCAATCAATGTGCTGACGAACTTGCTAGCATGAATGCTGCTGCTGTTGCGCCCTTTGAGGTGGAAGGTGTGAATGGTTGGATTCTTGCCAGGATTAAAAAGTTGACCATGTGGATGATCCCTCGCATTAAGTATTGGCTTACTGTTGAAGCTGCTGTGCCTAAAAGGGTTCCTGATGGCCCCCCACGTACTAAGCAGGAGTTGTTTAATCAAGCTGAAGCTAAAGGTTTTGGTGGTCATGTTTGGAGACGGTGCCCAGAGGGCTTGCGTTGCAACGCTTGCTGTAGTATCCTTAAAACCTATCGGACTTTGCCAGACTTGGAAGTCATGGCTGCCTTGCCCTGTTCGGGTGCTGGTGCCCAAGTGGGGTGTGGTCACCCTTTGCTTCACAAAGTTCATTTTACTCATACCATGTATGGTACACAATCAACCCTTAAGTGCTTCCAATGTGGTGGGCGATTAGCTGCTGGGTGCACCAAAGCTGTTAGCCGGAAGTTGCAATTTCCGTGTGGAACCTCAGGCGCACGTTTGTACCGACGTCGAGGCTAATCTTGTAGGGAAAAAAAAAGTCTTATCTTCGAGACTTGTATTCGTGCCTAATGGAGATTGGCTGCGACAGCGCCGCCCCTGCATCCGCGCATCGGCAGTGCATACTTGGACGGCATCCGGTTGGATTTCATGCATTGCCTGAATCCTTTTCCGGCATAATGTTGACTGGCTGCTCCGGCGCCGCGCCAACATTCTTTTGGACCTCATGCCTCCGTAATTGGATTAGATTTCGTGCATCCGCAATTAAGCATCCGCTAGGTGCACGGATAGAAATTGCCAGGCATGGGAGGTTTCTTATTGGAATCATCACATCCCTTGCCTGGAATCATGAACCGAGCCGTGAGACACAGTAATTAGGCATCCGTCCGTAGGCCTGATCAACCTCGGTAGTATGCTATTTCATGTTTGACCCTGTACAGTTCATGATAAGGGGGGGATTGAAAGAAATGGAGGTTTCCTATACCCATTTTTTCCATTGTTTAGTATCTTTCCTTACGGGTCAACATGTTGCCATTTACTTGTGTGGCTCAAGCATGGCGAAAAACAGGTTGCCGCCGCTGCCCCTTTGTGTCACCGTCTTTGTTTGACTTCTCTGTTGTTTTTGGGGTGTTATTACTCAGCTCAACTTTTTATGTATAATTGATTACATAAACATAAATAAATTTCTTTTTCTCTCATCATCACATAATGAGTTGCATGACTTCGACGTTGTTTCCCTAATAATAATTTCCCCCTAATAATAAACTACCTGGTGTGTTTATTATTAGGGGGGAGACGTTTAGTATTGGAGGGAAGGGATTACTCAGGTTTTTTTTCGGCCATCCCAAACCCCGCAACCCTGGACGCCAAAGTTAAGACCTCAATGGCTAAATTTGACCATGCGTAGGGTTCTTCAGGCATTCATGTGTATCTCTGTGCCACCAAAGTCCCACGGCCCCCCGTAGCTATCTAGTTGTCAATGTATTTACCTATCTATGTGAACATCTGTCGCAAAATTTGTCCGTCTGTCTGTCTATCTGTCTGTCTATCTGTCTGTCTATCTGTCTATCCGCCTATCCATCTATCTATGTATCTATGTATCTATCTATCTATCTACCTATCTATCGATCGATCGATCTATCTATCTATC